CGGCTCGGCTCCTCAGCGGCACAGGCGGCTCGGGCGGCTCGGCTCCTCAGCGGCACAGGCGGCTCGGGCGGCTCGGCTCCTCAGCGGCACAGGCGGCTCGGCTCCTCAGCGGCACACGCGGCTCGGCTCCTCAGCGGCACAGGGGTCCGGGCGGCTCGGGTCTAGCAGATGGCACGGGCGGCTCGGGCGGCTGGGTGTCACAGCGGCGTAAGGGCGGCGTGGGGCCGAGGCGGCGGCGTGCAGTTGGGACGGCGGCGTGCAGCCGAGACGGCGGCGTGCGGCCGGGACGGCGGCGTGGGGGCCGGGACGGCGGCGTGCTGCCGGGACGGCGGCGTGGGGCTAGGACGGCGGCGTGAGCCGTAGGTAGGGCGGCGGTGGGCCGCAAGTAAGGGCGGCGGGTGGGTCGCAGGTAAGGCGACGGGTGGGCCGCAGTGAAGGGCGGCGCGAAGCCGCAGATAAGGGCGGCGACGGGCCGGGGCGGCGCTAAGCCGCAGGTAAGGGCGGCGTGGAGCCGCAAGTAAGGGCGGCGACGGGCCGGGGCGGCGCGAAGCCGCAGGTAAGGGCGGCGCGAAGCCGCCAGTAAGGGCGGCGCGAAGCCGCAGGTAAGGGCGGCGACGGGCCGGGAGAAGGGCGGCGCGCCGCAGCCGCGAAGGCGGCTCGACGCGACCGTAAGGGTGGCGCGACGAGCCGCTAGGTGCGACCCGACGGGTCGCTAAAAAAAAGGGAGCGCGCGCCTCGAGGCGCGCTTCGGTGGGCCCAAGGAACAGTCCCTAGGAGGGGACCTGCTCTGATTCCATGTGAGAATGAGAACGAGAATGAATGAACTATGAATGAAGTGAGTACATATAGGAAACCCTGATTGGGTTGTACCCCCTATGGGATACCCCACTATAGCCTACACAAATATATATAAGCTATAATGTTCTGACAGCCAGTTGCGGCGCCCCATCCGCCGCCCGCGTCGGCCCAGGTGCCGCCGCTGTTTCCCCAGCCGCTAGCGTCGTTTGTTTCCAACCCGCCAGTGCTTCCCCATCCTCCTTCGTTGGAGTCATCTTCTACCGCTTCACCTCCCCATGCATCGCAAGCGAACGTCCCGCGTGCCTCTACGAGACTTTGCTGGCGAAGCTCCTCAGCTTCGCGGCGCGCCAGTTCTTCCTCTCGTTCCATGGTGAGTTTCTTCGTCGAATCGTGTTGGTGAGGGTAGGTCTCCAGGAATTTCGCGTAGGTGTAGGGTCGCGGCTCGCCACGGGCATCGAAGGTGCCGACGCCAGTTCCGCGCAGCATCCCCTGAAGGTGTTGCGAGGGGGGACCGATAAGGGGATGTTCTGGCGTGCCGAAGACGCCGTGGGTGGCGACTTCGAGTTCGAGCTGCGACATCCCTTCCCTTGGGGGCATGTGACGCTCTGCTTCAACGATGGCGGCGAGTCCCCGGCCGGCAATCGCGTTCGTCGAAGTCGTCGGTGTGTCACAATCCCTGCATATTCCGTCTGGATCGGGATTGTGAAGTGCCGTTTCGCGTGGGTGGGGATGGTGCGGAACCCACGGTCTACCGTCAGGGTGCTTCCAGTCCCTGCGGTGGATGTGTTCGAAGCGCAGTGGCACGAGGTCAATTAGTTCGTGCGTGTCGCCGCTGCAGTCGGGGATGTCGAAATCCAAGACGTATACTCCATTTTCAGAGCGCGCTCGTCCGATCTGCCTGCGGGGAAAGTTGCGTGCTTTGTAGTGCAGCAGGATGTCTCGCGTCGCGTGGTCCGTGCTGAGGTCGACACCGCAATCCATGAGTTGTGCGGCGGACAGAAGGTTGAAGCGCAAGTTCTGGACGATTAACACATCGTTGAGTGTGATGTGGGTGCGGATTCCGCGTGCCTTGAGCATGACGATGCCTTGCGCGCTTGCGCGCAGGCGTGTATTATTTGCCACGGTGACGTAGGTGACGGTAGGGGTGGGGACGGCGTTGGATATGTAACGCTCGGACCCCACCATATGCTGGCCGCAGCAGCTGTCCAGGTACCAGGTGTTGTAGCGCTTGTTGTCGTCACGTGCGAGCAGCGCCAGTCGCGGCGTGACGATGTGCGGGGCGTCGAACTTAAGAAATTGTTCGCGCGTAAGCCAATCAAGTGGCGCCACTCGCATATCAGGGACGTGCGGGGGACTTTCGAGCAGCGGGACTGGGAGATTCTAGTCCTGGTCGTCGTCGTCGGTGTAGTCGCGGCGCGAGCTAAAAGGATTGTTGTTGATATATGCGCCAATGGGGTGTGGTGCTGGCTCAGGTGAAGGTGAGCGCATGCGTCGACGACGCGACTCGCTTGTCATGGTCATGTTGCTCATGACATTGCGAACTGGTGCAGTCGATGACGACTGCTGCTGCTGGTGCTGAACCGCTGGGTTCAGGTTGCGCGCAGGTGGGAGTTGTTGTCCCTGGGCTGGACGCACGTCGCCTCGTGCGTCTTGTCGGCCGGTCCAAGTGCTCGGATTGGACTGGCGAGGGCGAGATCGGAGTTTGCATCGATCCGCCAGGTGCCCGAAATTTCTGCAACTTTTGCAGTAGAGGCGCCTCGGCCGTCGCTCTTCGTTGTTGTCAGCGTAGAAGGCGAGCCGTTCGCGTTCTCGTCGTGGCGCTGGTCGCTGCTGGTCCATATCCCTTTGTTCGACGAGAAGGGCGGCGCAAAGGGCGGCCTCCGAGATGACCCCCTGCTGTCGGAGAAGCGCCTTGCAGGGCCGCCACTCTGGGCCGAACCCTTGAAGCACGATGTTGACGAAGATTTGTTCCGATATCGTGCTTCCCAACTTCACGATTTGATCGCGAAGGCTCCGACAGCGGTTAAGGTAGTTGTTGACCTTCTCCCCTGAGGTCATCTTGGTTTCCAGTAGTTCCTGGAGTAGTCGGCTCGAGGACACGGAGTCCTTGGGCTGATACACGCCTGTCAGATGTCGCCAGGCGTTGAGGGCTGGAGCAGCTGTCGTTTTGTACGAACGAATGTTGAGCTGCTCCGCCGCCGACATATTCCGCAGAATCACTCCGTATGCCATCAGCGATTCGTTGTAGTACCTCGTCTTGGCGTCGTCGGTATCCTCAGCAGGCTCCGCGTAGCTCCCGTCGAAGTAATGGAAGATTTGGGCGTTCTGCAGCAAAAGCTCCAATTCGAAGCTCCAGGTATAGAAGTCTCTGCCGTCAAAACAGGTACTTGTCTTTATTTTTGATATGTTGAGAAACCTTGATTGAGCGGAGAGAATTGCCTCTTCACTGGGACGGGGAGTCTTGGGGGTTGAGCCATTGGTGTCGAGGGAGAGTTTGGCCAGTCGGGGCCGGTTGAGGGGGTTGCGAGGAAGTTCCCGCATCGCCGTTTCGCAATGTTTGGAGTCCTTGCTCCAAGCTGGTAAGTCGCTGAAGAAGTTGTGCGAGAACGTCGGAGTCGATTGTCGTCGTGTTCCCGCTTGTCGCAGCCGGGTTGGGTTGTGCTTCAGCCGTCATATTAGTCTGAACACCAGATCCTCCGGCCATCCTCGTGCGTGATCGTGTGCAGGTCGCCACTTTCCAAGTGTCGTAATTTTCGGGAGTGACGGTGCGAATGATTCCAGAGTCGCTCTCATACCATGCTGAGATCAAGAGTTGATTGTAGCCCAGGATCTGCTCTGGTAGGTTCGCACGCAGTGAAGTAGTGTTGGTGGGCCCTTGACCTCAATAGCAGAGTGAATGTAAGATGCTTGAGATAATAAAAACATGCAAATACAACGATATAAATATGAGTACAAGGAAATTCGAAACGACCTAACTAGCCATGTACTCTAAGGGGCATTCCCTTATTCAAATGCATCCCAACCGTTCGGTGCGTACGGTTTCGTAACTGTTCCTGCAAAAACCTTCCTGCCTGCAGCTGTCCGATGCCGTTTGCTTCCGACGGTTCAGATGTGCTGTAACCGTCCGACTCTTTGACTCAATTCCAACCGTCTGACGCTTGCGTTCGTTCCCCGATATTGTCCGCTCCTTGCTACGGTGAGGAGTGCTTAGTAATATCGGATATTACTATTCGTAACACAGAACGTGGGCTGGAGGTCATTTCCCTCCACCCACGTCTCTCATTTTTCAAACGGTTTAGTCAAGTTTCCCACACACCCAGCCCCTATGATAGTGAATACCGTAATAGTTAATTGTGCTACGAAAATTATCCTATGCTAGCTTGGACTTGTTTGTACCAACCCATTTGAAATGAGAGGATGCCATTGCTACAACAAGAAAGCAAGCTTTCTAAATATATCTATCTTGTTGCCCAGGTAGAAGAAGAAATCTGCTGATATTGTGTATAGAGTACCTCTACACCATACAGTTACAAATTCATAACGCAAGCAAGCTCAGAAGTTGATAAACATTCAGAGGCGCAGAAAGAACACCGACGGGTGTTAACACCTCAACAGTGTTCTTTAGGCGCCTTTGAAGTGCGAACCTAGTTAAAGCTCACTTTCGGCTGCCATGACCCCAATTACCCAACTTCCCACAATATACCATTACCAGTAACCTGTCCCTTCCATGTCACACTGCATAGAGATACACCTTTGCATAAGTGCAGGTCATGGCACTCTCACACCATAATCAGCTGCGGTCCCTCTTACTGTATCAACCCAGCTACTGAGTCTCCCTGAAGTTGGCTGGAAGGAAGACCATTTGAGACTCCTTTTACACACTCTATAAGGACCACTGAACGTCTGTCCCATCAGCAGAGGCCTCTCCCACTGCAGCAACTGCCACAGCAGCAACCCTCGCACTCAGCCTCCCTGAAGCAGCAGAGAAGGAACCTCGCTGCGACCTGCTGCTGTGACGCCGCGACAGAGAGCTGTTGCACGGAGAGAGCTTGCTGGCACATGGGGAGAGCTTGCTGGTAACCGCGCCGTGCCGACGCCACTGCTTCCGCTGCAGCACATCGGAAGCGAGCTTCCTACAGGTTTTGACCGTGCTGCACGTGGTCCTGTACGTGGTTTTGATCGTGAGCGTTGCAAGTGGGAAGATGAAGGTAGATGACGGGTCGCAAGTGGCTGGCTGGCGGGTCTTAGGTGGTGCAGTGGGTGTGACGGTATCAGCAGCTGCAGGCTTGATGGTAAAGGCAGCTACAGGGGTGGCAGTGCAAGCAGGGGCTGTTGGGACGGTGAAGGCAGCAGGTGGGACGGTGGAGGCAGCAGGCTGTAGTACAGGTGAGGAAGCAGGCTTGGCGGTACCCACAGCAGAAGAAGAGATGGAGAACGAGGATGGAAGGAAAGAGCTGTTGCAAATCCAAGGGTCGCTCAGAACCTCGTCAATGGACGGTCGGATTTGCGGGTCGGTTGCGAGCATCGAACGGATGAGATTCCTCGCTCGGCCTGAGATGATCCACCAGCAGGGGGAGTCCCAGTCCTTGCTTTCGTCAAACGCGCGGCGACCGTTCGCGAAAGTCGGCCATTTTCCCGAAAGCATCGCATAGAGGGTGACACCAAGGCTCCATATGTCAGCCGAGAAATCATACGGTTTTCCCGCCATGACCTCAGGAGCCTCGTAAGGGAAGCTTCCCGCGTAACCGTTGGTCTTCTCCCCCGGAGCAAGCACCCTCGCGATGCCGAAATCCGCGAGCTTCGCCATAAATTCGCAACCGCGTCCCCTGAAGTCGCTTTTTAGGGTTACCTTGGGAGACACGCTGTTGGGTGAAGCGCTTCCTGAGGGGATTTGCCCTAGGGCGGAATTTTTGGCGGGAAACAAGAGGACGTTGTCGGGCTTGACGTCGCGATGAATGACCCCGTTATAGTGGCACTGCTTTAAAGCCATGGCGACTCCTTTGAACAGCTCACGCGCCTCGTGCTCCGGAATCCGTCCCTTCTGCTCTATCCGCGTTAGAAGATCCCCGCCGGTAGCGAGCTCCATTACAAGCACCATCCCCTTCCCCTCCTCCCCGATAAAGACATCCTCGAGAGTAACAATATTTTCACACTCCTTGAGCAGCGAAAGCGCCACCGTTTCGCGGCCCGCCGCGTCCATTGCTTGCTTACGCGCCGCAACCACCTTGCAGGCGAGTCGCCTGCCGGAAGCGCGTTCCACGCATTCCGCAACGACGCCGAACTGTCCCTTTCCCAGGTCCTCCCTGACTTCGTACTTCTCAACGAAGGCGCTCAGAGAGTTGCGCTGCGCCATGGATATTTCAGTGAACTCAAATAACCTAAAACGATTGTTGCTTTGTTCAACTGATAGATAATATTGTCTTGATATTTGTGGGCTTCTGTGTTGTGGGAGCTCAAGTATGCTGGAGAAATACAGATAAACTGGCTTGGTAGATGCCGTGCTCTAGATAGAAAGGCGAATGTTTGATCGGACTGACGATTACTACCCCAGACAACGCCATAAGTACTCATTACGTGGAGTCGCATCATCGCTCGTCGTGACCAGACCAGGCCACATTAGGATGAGAGGTTCCCTACGAGTTGCTGGCTCTTAGCGGACTGGCAATGGCATCCGAGAAACCTCGAGATTGCCGACCACAGAAGGAACGATCTAGCCGAGCACGCAAGGAACGATCTAGGGATTGCATTGCCAAGCAGGTGTGGAGTGGAGCGGAGTGGGGTGTAGTAGGGTGAAATGCGGCTGATTCAGGCGGTGTGGAGCGGTTCAGAGCGGGGTGGGGCGGAGGGGAACGTATTGGGGAAAAAGGATGCCCTGCCCAAGACGGTGCAACGCAACCTTACCTCTCGCGTCGCGGCTTGCCCGGTCGCCTGCCACCGAGAGATTGCCCCTCTCTGATTTCGCCGCTTCCGTTCCACACCACACGCCTCGTCCGAAATGTCCCCCCAACCCCCCGCTGACTGGACGGGCTGACCTTATTTTCCCGCTGCCAGGAAGGAGGCGTGGAACGGCAGTGGAAAAATTAGGTCAGCCCGCCCAGTCAGCAGCGTTTGGCAATGGTTCGCTGGTGGGCAACACTTCAGTGCGCTAGTTTTTCGCATTATGGTTACCTGCTCGATTCCTGTCTTCGGGGAAATCTTTGCTACGGCAGACAGATAGACTAAAACGTGATGTCCAGTCCAGTGACATTCCACCGAAATTTGTTGACTGGATGTTGTGGGCAGACCGTCAGCTTTTTTCTCGCACCCTGATTTGCAGGGCTTTGTCTTGAAGCGCCAAGACTGGCGAAACACAAGAGTCCCACTTGTTACAACACTTTCTTTACCTAAAAATACTCCATAAATTATGAACAATATCCATAGCCTCTTTCGCCTTAGTGCATAATCTGAACTCTTCGTTAGAGGCACCCTAATCTGTTATTGCGGATATTTGGCTTTTAACTCGTCCTTTCTGCTCTGTTACTTTCTCTCCCATTTACTCCACGCGGTTGGAGGTATTGATTAGGTGTTTAGGACTTGCATTAGGTGTGTCCTCCAGCTTAGTCCGGGGCTGCTCTTTCCCCAGAAGCTCGTTAGGATTGCTATCGCAATCCACATTCTGCTCCGCGTGTAGCAACGCTGCTAACCCTAATCATGGAGGCTGCCATTGCGTGCACCACGAGCAGAGCCCTCGCGCCGTTAGTTCGCGGCGGTCCGTCAAGCGCGCCTCGAAGGTCGTTCTTGAAAGGATCAGCTCGGAATGACGTCTCGCGAGGCGCGTTCTTCGGGGAAAGCTCGGGCCTTGACGCCGGACAACGATTGGTTCGAACCACTCCGAATCGAAGGAATCTGAGTACATTATCGAACCATTCTTCTAACGTCTCTCGCGATCCTCCATTCCGTAGCTCCAATTCTTGCTCCCGCTTCCGCTTTTTTATTGGCTGTTGACTTTAAAGTGCTCCTGTTCCCGCTTCTTGATTGGCGCACGCGTCTTGCTGTTTTTCTCTTCTCAATTCAAAGTAAATGTAATTTCACCCTCTGATCGTTTCTGCTTGATTTGTCGCCAATTCCAGCTGTCCGCGCGGCGGGTAACACTTTCGGCACCGCATTTCGGGTTACCACATTTGGCGAGTCGCACGGCGGAGGGGTAGGCTGCGTCGTCGACGGTTGCCCTCCGCGCCTGCCGCTCACAGAGAAGGACCTCCAGGTCGACCTGGACAGGCGGTATGTGACAATGCGGATGAGTTGTAGTTAGGGTTAAGTTTTATTTTGTACCCTTTTACTCGAAGCACGTCTCTTGCTCACAGAGAAGGACCTCTAGGTCGACCTGGACAGGCGGTATGTGGCAATGCGGATGAGTTTTAGTTAGTGTGGAGTTCATTTCTTTCACTCGAAGCACGATCTGCCGCTCCAAAAGAAGGACCTCCGGGTCGACCTGGTCTGGCGGCGGTATGTAAATTCGAAACGGCTTCGAGATGTGCTTTTCACAATGCTCCAGTGAAGCCTTGTTGGGGTCCCTGTGTTTTGATGGGTGGGAACACGTCTGCCGCTCACAGAGAAAAACCTTTAGGTCGATCTGGACAGGTGGTAAGCACGACTGGCCCGGCCGTGGCATTGCGGATGGATTCTCGTTGAGGGTAAATCTCTTTGTTTTGTGGTCTGTTCGTTTGTTTGTTCTGTCTTGTATGCTGTCTCCTAACTCTCCCCTTTTCGCTTACCCCACCTCTCGCTAACTTCTTCTCCTACCAGTTGGCCAGTCCAGTCCCGCATCACCACCCCTTGCAAGGAGACAGACACGTGCCGGTTGAATTCGCCTGTCAAATCACCTCAAACCTTCCGTTTCCTACCTCTCCCCCCCTTTCTCTTGACCCCCCCCTCCTCCCCTCCCCCCTCTCCCCCCTCCCCCTCCCCCCCCCCCCCCCCCACCACCTTCTCTCCCTTCTCCTTCTGGCAGTCGGCCGGGCCAGTCGCGAATCACCACACCCCGCAAGGAGACAGACACGTGCCGGATTCTGTCAGGCACTGCTGAAGGTACGTCGTTATTGTTCTTTCTTTCCTCCTGTCTCTCCTTACTCCTCTCACTCTCCTCAATCTCCTCACTCTCTTTCACGTTCCCCTCACTCTCCTCCTCGCCCTCCTCACTCACCCCCTCGCCCCCCTCACTCTCCCCCTCGCCCTCCTCACTCTCTTCCTCACCCTCCTCACTCTCCTCGCCCTCCTCACTCTCTTCCTCGCCCTCCTCACTCTCCTCGCCCTCCTCACTCTCTTCCTCGCCCTCCTCGCTCTCCTCGCTCTCCTCACTTCCCTCACTCTTCTCATTCTCCCTACTCTATCCTATCCTCTCTTCTCACCTTCTCAATCTTCTCATTTTCCTCACTCACAGAAATCTTTTCACTCCCTTGTCCCTCCTCACTCTCCTGTCTCTCCTCCTCGCTCTCCCCACTCTCTTCACTCTCCTCTCCGCTTCCCCGGTCATCGTCTGCAGGGGTGACGCTTGGAACGCCAATCGCGGTTCTCGTGCCAAACCAAGACCAGAGGGGAGGGGTGAGTGGAAGAGATGAAAGGAGGGAGAGGGGTGAGTGGAAGTGAGGAGCAGAGGGGGAGGGAGTGAGTGGAAGTGAGGAGCAGCGGGGGAAGGGGTGTGTGGTAGAGAGGAGCAGCAGCGGGGGAAAGAGTGTGTTGAAGAGAGGAGCAGAGAGGGGGAAGGGGTGTGTTGAAGAGAGGAGCAATGGGGGAAGGGGTGGGTGTACTTTGCTTGTTTCTCTTAACACTGTAAATCCCATGAATTTCTCGTCATCATTCCCCAACCCCTCATCCCTCATCCCCCTTCCACCAACCCCCATCCCTTTCAGGACTATTCTGAGATTGCAGTGGCTTACCGCCCTTCCCACGCCGATGCAACATACGACTTTAAGTACGGCGTGCGAGCCATTCAGGTGAGACTGAGTGAGGGATGGAGGAGCATTCAAATGAGGGGGAGGTGGCATGAAGGTGAGTGAGACGTCACTTTTGAGTCAACGCACAAGACCCAAGTCACCTTGCTGATGCAACATGCGACTTTAAGTACGGCGTGCGAGCCATTCAGGTGAGACTGAGGAGGGATGAACAAGCCAATTTGGTGAGGATGAATGCTGAGACATCTCAAAACGTGCTTACCGCCCTTCCCACGCCGATGCAACGTACGACTTCAAGTACGGCGCGCGAGCCATTCAGGTGAGGAGGAGGAGGGAGGGATGAAGAGTCAGACGACCAAATGCTCCCCATCTCTCGATTCGCTGTGCCGTGAACTACATGTTTTACATAGGTCAGCTCGAGCCACCAATGAGCATGCAGTGCACTGTTATTCCTCAATTCCCTGCACTTTTCCCCTCTCTACCCCCACTTCCCTCCGCTCCAAACCTCACAACACCCTCCCCTGCACAATCAGGGAGGAGGCGGGTCGTCATCTCATGAAAGTATTGGCCGAGTCTTGAGACGTGACGTCTCAAAACTTGAGCGTGCGCGTTGCATCTGTCTTCTCTTCCCATCACACTGCTCCTCTCCTCCCTCTCTTCCTTCCCCCCCACACTCAGGGCGGGGGCCGGTCATCAGCTCGCGAAACTATTGAGCACAGTGTGTTTTTCCATCAAACACGCCTTCTCTTCCCTCCCCCTTCCTTCCCCCTCTCCCCCAAACCCAAACCTCACAATACCATTTTCTCCCCCACACGCTCAGGGCGGAGGCAGGTCGTCAGCTCGTGAAACTATTGGCCGAGTGGCGGCCGGCGCAATTGCCAAGAAGCTTCTGGCCCTCCACTCAGGCACCGATGTAAGCTGCTGTTGTCTGTGTTCGTGAGTTCTTATTCGACCTTTTGGCTGGCATGGCTTGTCTTATCCGTGTTTAGGCCCTGGCTAGGCGCTGGCCTTTGTGTCTCAAACTCAACATGTAGTCCTGCCAGAGTCTTGCTCTCTATTTCTCTATTAGAATCCTTAACCCCCTCCTCTTCCTTCCCCTCCCCCACCCTCTCTACCCCTCTCTCTCGTCAGGTGCTCGCGTTTGTTTGTGTCTCAAGTGCACCATGTAGACCTGGCCTGCCAGAGGATGCTAGTGACCTCTTCCTTCAAGTCCTCCACCCCCTCTTCTTCTTGATTCCCCTCCCCCCTCCTCCCCCCCTTTCTCTCTCACCAGGTGATCGCGTTCGTTTCTCAAGTGCACCACGTGGATCTGCCAGAGGATGCCATCGACCTCGATACAGTCACACTGGACCAGGTAGGTAGGTGGTACTACAACGAAGAGACGAATGCGAATTACGCAGTGTGTGTGTGTGGGTGAGTGAAATCAACAAGACATTCTTTTGAGTCGACTCAAAAGTCGAATGCGAATTACGCAGTGTGAGTGAGTGAGTGAAATCAACAAGACATTCTGACACTCCCATCTGTCGACCTGCCAGAGGAGGGGAGGGCGCTATCAACCTCGATACAGTCACACCGGACTGGACCACATGGGATCATAATGGAAGGATGACTGCAAAGCAAACAAGCAAATGTTTTTTAACGCTCTATCTTTTGACCTGCCAGAGCATGCCACCAATCTCGATACAGTCGCACTAGACCAGGTGGGACTGTGAGCGTGAAGCTCCGGACCTCCCTGCCCCCTGATGTTGATCTTACTGTGGTTCCCCTTCTCCTCACTTCTACTGTGCTTCTTCCCTGACTGTTACCACCATCAGGTGGAGTGCAACATAGTGCATTGCCCTGATGCGGCAGTGGCGGAGCGAATGGTTGATGCCCTTCATGCTGTCAGGGTGAAGGGCGCTCCTCTCTCCTGGGTCCCGTCCCTCACCCCCCCTCCCCTGCCCCACCTCACCCACCATCGCTCCTTCCCGCTCTCTGTTGCCACCATATCAGGTGGAGAGCAACATAGTGCGTTGCCCTGATGCGGCAGTTGCAGAGCGAATGGTTGATGCTGTGAGGATGAAGGGCAACTCACTGCACTGCTGATGTGTATCGTACTGTGCGCCCTCTGCTCCCGTTCCTTCGCCTCCTTCTCCTCTCCTTTCAGGTGGAGAGCAACATAGTGCGCTGCGTTGCCCCGATGCGGCAGTGGCGGGGGGGGATGATCAATGCCAGTGATTGATGCTGTGAGGATGTATGTATGGCAAACTCATCACCCACTTCTTCGCCTCATGCTCGTCTTCTTTTCAGGTGGAGGCCAACATCGTACGTTGCCCCGATGCTGTCATTGCAGAGCGGATGATCGATGCGATCGACGCTGTGAGGGTGAAGGGGAAAGGGAAACCCACCCCCCCCTCCTCCCCCCCCCCCCTATCCACCCTTTCCCCTCCTCCCCCTCCCCTCCCCACCCTGGCTCAGGTTGAGGCGAACATCGTACGTTGCCCCGATGCCGCCATTGCAGAGCGGATGATCGATGCGATTGACGCTGTGAGGGTGAAGGGCGACTCGTGTGGCGGCGTGGTCACGTGCGTGGCCAGGAACGTCCCTCGGGTGAGATGGGTGTGGAGAAGAAGGGTGGTGGTGGCTGCTTTCACTCTAGAAAAGCTGTGTCGGGTCGGTTGGGGGTAAGCAACTAGAGCTGATGGCTAGCCGTGTAGTCGTCAGTATCAAGAAGTGTTTTGAGACGTCTCAAAGGGTGGTGGGCGGTGGCTGGCTGCTTTCGCTCTAGAAAAACTGTATCGGGTCGGGGGTAAGCAGCAACTAGAGCTGATGGCAAGAGGCGTAGTCATCACTCACCCCCGCGCCCCCCGTCACTCGCCCCCACGGCCCCTGCCTGAGTAGCAAAGCTTGTGCCCCTGTGGGCTTCCCTGTTTAAAGCGCTGTGTAAGTGGGGTGGGTATGGAGGAGTGTGAAGTGCTACCATCTTGGGTAGCAGGATCAAGAGCTAGCATGGGTGCTCATGTCTCTCACCCTTCCTTTCTCCGCGCTTCTCCAACCATTCCTCCTTTCCTCTCCCACTTTTTCTCCCCACCAGGGTCTGGGCTCGCCTGTGTTTGACAAGCTAGAGGCCGAGCTAGCACGGGCGCTCATGTCTCTGCCGGCCACCAAGGGGTTTGAGATCGGGAGTGGCTTCTCAGGTATGCCTTGTGATGCGCTGCTAAAGGGTTTGAGATTGTTCTCAGTGTGTATTCCCCCCCGGCGATGCCCGTGCTCCATGCCCTCTTGTCACTCGCTCTTGTCTCTGCCCGCCACTAAGGGGTTTGAGATCGGGAGTGGCTTCTCAGGTATGCTTTCACAAAACAAGATTCCTCACCTGCTTCTTCTATGCCTAATATGGTGTCTTCTGAGTCGACTCAAAAGTCACCTCAAGGCATTGCTGCCACGTATCGACCCATGGCCTCTAAGTGGGGCTCGATTGGACGAAAACAAGATTCCTGACCTGCTTCTTCTATGCCTGATAAATTCTTTATCAGGTAGGTTTTTGTGTGCCTCGGAAAGGGACAATTCGTGCATGATTTTTGAGACGTCTCAAAAACAACCTCGCTTCAGGTAGGTTTTTGTGTGCCTCGGAAAGGGACAATTCATGCATGATCCAGCTGCGTGAAAAGGATTCTGTGTTTTTTTTAGAATTCTCAAATAATTAATTGGTCCTTCTTGCGCCTCCGAGTCGTGTGATGTGATGCATTGGGAGTTGCACAGTGTGATGTGATGCATTGGGAGTTGCACAGTGTGATGTGATGCATTGGGAGTTGCACAGTTTCGATTACCACCCACCCATCCATCACACAGGGATGCCTCATTGCTGACACATCCATGCCAGGCAGTGAGCGAAACGACGAGTTCACTTTTGAGTCGACTCAAAAGCCATCACACACCGATGCCTCATTGCTGACACATCCATGCCAGGCAGTGAGCCAAACGACGAGTTCTATGTGGCTCCAGATGGGGCCACACTCCTCCCCTTCACTTTCCCCTTTTCTCCTTCTCCTTGCCCTCTCGTGCTTGCTCCCTTCCCCCTTCCCCCCCGCCTCCTGCCCCAACCCACTCCCCAGGCACGCGCATGCTAGTCAGTGAGCATAACGATGAGTTCTATGTTGCCCCGGATGGTGCCATCCGCACTCACGTGTTTGGCCTTTATCCCCTCTCACACCCCCCCCATCTCGCCCCTCACTCCCCCCAGGCACGCGCATGCTAGTCAGTGAGCATAACGGCGAGTTCTACGTTGCCCCAGATGGTGCCATCCGCACCGCACACTCACCAACCGCTCGGGGGCATTCAGGGCAGCATTCTGCACTCCTCACTGTGAAGCACCTTCTTCCCTCCGTGCCTCCCCACACCACCACACCCCCCAGGCACGCGCATGCTGGGCAGTGCGCACAACGACGAGTTCTACGTTGCTCCAGACAGGACCAGCTGCATTCGCTCCCCTATATCCCTATGATCTGAGCCTCAACTTTCCTCCCCTATATCCCTTTTTCCACCACCTCCCCTACAGGCACGCAACGGTCCTCATTCACCCATCCCATCCATCTCTCATTCTCTCTTCTGCAGGCACGCGCATGCTGGGAAGCGAGCACAACGATGATTTCTACATTGCCCCAGATGAGGCTATCCGCACTCGCACCAACCCCTCAGCTGCTTCCTGTGATATGGCCTGCCCCTCCCCCCTCTCAGCTGCTTCCTGTGATATGGCCTGCCCCTCCCCCCTCTCAGCTGCTTCCTGTGATATGGCCTGCCCCTCCCCCCTCTCAGCTGCTTCCTGTGATATGGCCTGCCCCTCCCCCCTCTCAGCTGCTTCCTGTGATATGGCCTGCCCCTCCCCCCTCTCAGCTGCTTCCTGTGATATGGCCTGCCCCTCCCCCCTCTCAGCTGCTTCCTGTGATATGGCCTGCCCCTCCCCCCTCTCAGCTGCTTCCTGTGATATGGCCTGCCCCTCCCCCCTCTCAGCTGCTTCCTGTGATATGGCCTGCCCCTCCCCCCTCTCAGCTGCTTCCTGTGATATGGCCTGCCCCTCCCCCCTCTCAGCTGCTTCCTGTGATATGGCCTGCCCCTCCCCCCTCTCAGCTGCTTCCTGTGATATGGCCTGCCCCTCCCCCCTCTCAGCTGCTTCCTGTGATATGGCCTGCCCCTCCCCCCTCTCAGCTGCTTCCTGTGATATGGCCTGCCCCTCCCCCCTCTCAGCTGCTTCCTGTGATATGGCCTGCCCCTCCCCCCTCTCAGCTGCTTCCTGTGATATGGCCTGCCCCTCCCCCCTCTCCCTCCCATTCCTGCAGGCACGCGCATGTTGGGAAGCGAGCACAATGACGAGTTTTATGTTGCCCCCGATGGTGCCATTCGCACTCGCACCAACCGCTCGGGGGGCATTCAGGGGGGCATCTCGAACGGGGAGAACATTGTGGTGCGCGTGGCGTTCAAGCCTACTTCCACCATCACGGTGAGTCTTTCGTGCAGCATAACTGCTAGTTGGATACTCAGGTTGATCCTGGTTGTCGAGTGTGTGCATGTGTGAGGAACAACCCACCAACCGCTCGCCTGGGTGGAGAAAGACGCGTCCTGCGTCTAGGACGCATGCGTCCAGACGCAGCATCTTAGACGCAGGACGCTAGAGGAGGGCCTTTAGGACGCATGAAAAGACGCATGCCCAGGCAGGGCAAAAAAAACCCCCGGGCAGCCGAAAAATGATGTTGTAGGGTATGGGAAGGGGGGAGGGGGGGGAAGGAAGATGCACACATTTGAGGCAAAATCGTCCTCTTCAAATTTCCAGGGTTTAGGGTTTACGAAGGAGAATTGTCTTGGTAAACCCTCTAGGGTGTTTTTGATGGTCGAAATGGGTTAGGGGGGGTCGACATGACGCGAAATTGACAGTCGCGTCGAAATCGTTAGGGTCAATTTCGCGCTGGGGCAACAATTTTTTTTCCGGTCAGCCCGGAAAAAATATTCAGTGTGCGTCCTGCGTCTGGACGCGCGTCTTGCGTCTCTGCGTCTGGACGCAGCGTCCAGACGCAGGACGCAGCAGGACGCGTGCGTCTTTCTCCACTCAGCCGCTCGCCACTAAGGGGGCATTCAGGGGGGCATCTCGAATGGGGAGAACATTGTGGTGCGCGTGGCGTTCAAGCCTACTTCCACCATCCCGGTATGTGTGTGTTGAATTGCATTCAGTGCCAGGCTGGTACAACAGTGTAGGCATCCAGGGGGGCATTCAGGGGGCCATTCAGGGGGCCATTCAGGGGGCCATTCAGGGGGGCATCTCGAACGGGGAGAACATTGTGGTGCGCGTGGTGTTCAAGCCCACTTCCACCATCACGGTGAGTCTGGACTGGATCATGCTTTCTTGACTCTTGCACACTTGTGCAAGCACCAACTGAGCATGCAGGGGCATTCAGGAATGGATCCCGAACAACAACTCGTGATGCCTCAGATTTTCAAGACTCTGACTTGTGACGGCGTGGACACTCACTATGCTGACCCCCAAAGAAAAAGGCTTCTCAAAAACTTCCGTTCATCATTTCCCCCTTTTCCCCTCCTTCGCACCTAAACAGAGGAGTCAGCGCACGGTGACTCGTGAGGGTGTGGAGACAGAGCTCAAGGCATGTGGTGTATGTTTCTTGAGAATTCTCAAAAAACATACAGAGCTCAAGGCATGCGGGTTCACTATGCTAACCCCCAAAGCATAAGGCTTCTTGCCTGATCAACTTTCTTCCTCTTTCCCCACTTTGCCTCTCTCTGCACGTCAACAGAGGAGTCAGCGCACGGTGACTCGCGAGGGCGTGGAGACAGAGCTTAAGGCGCGTGGCCGGCATGATCCCTGTGTGGTGCCCAGAGGTGGGTTGCGGTGCCCAGAGGTGGGTTGTGGTAATCGGGCTGTTAGGTCTGGCCGAGGTTGTAGCCATTGCGCTATCAAATCAAATCAAATCAAATCGAATCAAGACGACTATGGATCAACGACCATGGCACGTGGTATTCACTTGCAATATGCGCTTGCCTCCCAGGGTATTCGTTTTTGTTCTTTTCATCTTCCTTCGCCCCTCTTCCTCTTCTGCTCTTCCCTTCCTTACGTCCCTCTCTCCAGCGGTCCCCATGGTCAAAGCAATGGTAGCGGTGCTGGCGGATCAGCTGCTGCAGCACGTGGCTCAGTGCGACCTGCTGCCTGCTCATGGTTACCACTCAGCTCCTTTCCTTCTCCTCTCCTTCCCTCCTTTCCTCCCCCTGTCAATTCAGCTGTCCCAATGGTTGAAGCGATGGTTGCCTTAGTTCTGGCTGACCAGCTGCTGCAGCACGTGGCTCAGTGCGACCTGCTCACCTCCCAAGTGTTTTTTCCCTTGTGCTCGTGTTCTGTTCTCCCCCACTCACCTCTCTCCAGCTGTCCCAATGGTGGAAGCGATGGTTGCCTTAGTCCTAGCGGATCAGCTGCTGCAGCACGTGGCTCAGTGCGACCTGCTGCCTGCTGAAGCCCTCGCCCCTGCTGCTGGTGCTGCTAGTGTTACGGGCGGTAACCAGCGGGAAGCTACAGTGATGGAGCAGTCTGCTATGTATAGCGAGCAATGAAGGATGCACAGGGTGTGGTGTGCTGTGGTTCTAAACTTCTAGATGGAGGGATGCATAAATGAAATGGCATCCTTGCAAAAGCTGGAAATAGGTGTACACTTCGCAGTGGCCACGGATTTGTGATAATTGAGGCAAAGTGCTTCCAGAGGCTTAGGGATTTAGGGAGGAAATGCCTACCTTTACTTTTACGTTTTTAGATTAGAGATTTAACTACTCAAAAAGAGTCTAATGCACGCTTTTGTAGGCTTATCGATTTACCAGAAATCCGAATCCCGGCCCTTTCCAGGGGCGTGAACCTGTGAATGAACGAGAAAAGAAATTCTGACACACGGTCGACACAAGAAGCGACCCTGATCAGCAAGGATCGACTCCCGGAGTGGATGTTGTCGCTCGACGGTAACATTGCGAACGCAGCTTCCATGTTCAGCTGGTTCAGTTCATTATGTGCAGTTATTCGTCATGTGTCACGGTGCAAAGCGGTGAAGATTGAGAACCGCTGTGCGCCGCCTGATATCGTCTTAAACCACGAGGATGAACTGTACAAGAGCTGTAAGGGCGGGTCCAGCGCGTACATATACAGGTACTATGCAGTTTATTTGTTGTGGTTTCAAAAGATATCAAACGGTGCACAATGGTAATAAAATTTCACCGTTCCGAACCGTGACGCAATACAGATTACCGCACTGGATGAACTGTAATGTACGGAATACGTACGTGCTGGACCCGCCCTAAATGTACGTGCTGGACCCGCCCTAAATGTACGTGCTGGACCCGCCCTGTACTTCCAGGCTCCGGAATCTGGAGTTATCAGGCGATTTACATCCAGAAACCATCAGGCGAAACGAATTTTCATCACAGAAGTGTTATTCGGCAAGTAAAATCTATCAGCCATATGGGTTAGTTGGAACTTTAGAATCGTCTCAGCCTATCCTCGACCGACGATTGGTCGGCCGAGATGACATTCGCCGCGTTTTGCGGCGCGTTTCTGATTGGCTTCGGACCGGCCATTGCCGTGATCGCCGTTACCGTGTCGCGACAGGCGTTCCTCTCGCTCGTTACTCTCACCAGGTGCTTACAGTCGCTCTCGTTCAACAATCGCTCGTTACTCTCACCAGGTGTTTACAGTCACGGCAAGTCACATGTTTTTAGCATCATATAGCATTTAATGAATTGCCGGATTGTGGCCACTAACCAGCAGGGTGTCGTCTCCCCTTCTTTTTCTGGTCTCGTTCCTCGAAGCAGCTCGAAACGGCTCGTTTTCTGCTCCCCATTTTGTCTCACCTCATCCTCCCGTCTTCGAATCCACCCCCCATCCCTCCACACCACACTTTGCGCTTTCCCCCCCCCTCCCCTTTCCCTCGCCTCTCCCTACCTTTCTTCCCTCCATTAACCCCACTCCTTTCTCCGAGCGTATCCTCCCTTTTCTCCATCCCCTCCCCCTCCTAACCTCCTCTCCTTCCTCCCCAACCAACAGCACCTTCTATTGGCTCATCACTCTCCTCGCAATCGCCTTGCTCTGGGGTCCTTTCATCGCCCTCACTGCTCGCTTTGAGTATTCCCTCCACTCTTCCATTTCTCTCCCCATTCTTCCCTCCCCCCCACCAACAGCACCTTCTATTGGCTCATCACCCTCCTCGCAATCGCCTTCTTTTGGCGTCCCTTCATCGCCCTCACTGCTCTCTCCGACTTCTTCCTCCTCCTCCTCATCCTCTCTGCTGTCGCTGCCCAAGAGGTCTCACGACAGCTGCTCTGTCAAATACTCTTGTAGGTATATTGGTGTAAGCACCCGCACTTCCCACTTCTTTTTCCTCCTACTCCTCATCCTCTCTGCTGTTGCTGGTCAAGAGGTCTCCCGCCAGCTGCTCTGCCAAATACTCTTGTTAGCCCGCGCCTCCCTTAAGTCAATCCCCTGTTTCCGATGCTTCTGTTTCCGCTCCTTCCTCTTCCTCCTCATCCTCTCTGCCGTCGCTGCTCAAGAGCATTCTGCCGTATGCACCCTCTTCCAAGCATTCCCTTGTAGGCATCTTCCTTTGACACTCCGCTTTCCCTTCTTTGTTCCCCCAATTCCTTCCTTCCTCCCTTTCACTTCCTCCCTTCTTTCCGTCCCTTTGTTTTCCCCTACCCCCAGTCGCTTAAAACGTGGTCTAAATTAAACGACATAACCACTGTGAGACACCTGTTGTGATTTGTCAATGACCCTTTCTCCTTGCCTCCTCCCTTCTTCTTCCTCCTTTTTTACCTTCCCTTTGTTCCCCCCACCCCACCCAGTCGTCTGGAGAGCGCTCTAGACGCCATAGCTGCTGCAAGACACCTGTTGTGATCCGTCAATGTCCCCTCGCTTTCCTCCTCCCTAATTCTTCCTCCCTTTGTCCCCCCCACCCCATCCAGTCGCCTAGAGCGCGGTCTGAACACCATAGCCACTGCAAGACGCCTGCCCCCGCTCTCCCCTCTCAACACCTTCCATCTTTCTCTCTGTAAGTATCATCTAAGCAAGTACACCCCACCTCCCTGTCCCCCATCTTCTACGACTACTGTTCTAGGCATGAGATCACTCACCCCCTCCTCCTCTTCCTCAGCAGTATCCCCACCTTGTCTACACTCATCCTTGCAGCAAACCACCCTCTGCCCCCCTACCCTTCCGTTATTCTACAGCTGGGCCATGGGATCGCTCAATCCTTCCCTCTTCCTCTTCCTCAGCGTCTCTTCACCCGCCATCGCACCTTAGGCCCCTGCCACCTTTTGAGGCGCCTCAAAAGTCGCACCTTAGGCTCCTGCCACCTTCCTCACACTACCCCGCCTTGCCTTTCCGCGTGTGATGAGGCGATTTTTGAGTCGACTCAAAAGCGTCTCTTCACCCGCCATCGCACCTTAGGCTCCTGCCACCTTCCTCACACTACCCCGCCTTGCCTTTCCTCATCCCTGCACAACCCCCCCCTCTCCCCTCCTCCCCCCCAACCCTCCGTCCCCCAATCCTCTAAACTACAGCTTCCGGTCTGGGCCATGGGATCGCCCACTCGCTCTTCCTCTTCCTCAGCGTCTCCTCACCCGCCATCGGCCCAGCAACCTTCTACTCGTGGCGCTGCCCTCAACTGCCCCTTGTGCTGCTTGCAGGTACGACCTACTTAGTTAGTATTAGATGTGGGGAAGGGGGGATGTGGGGAAGGGGGTATCTCCTCACCCGCCATCGGCCCCGCGACCTTCTCCTCTTGGCGCTGCCCTCAACTGCCCCTCGTGCTGCTCGCAGGTATTTTCCACTCAGTAGGTACGACCAGAATGCACAAGGGTGGGAAAAGTGGGATGTGGGGAGGGAGGAGTCTCCTCACCCGCCATCGGCCCCGCGACCTTCTACTCCTGGCGCTGCCCTCAACTGCCCCTTGTTCTCCTAGCAGGTATTTCATTGCAGTCAGTGTGTGCTCCTGACACTCTAGGTTCCCTGGAGGTTGGATCTGGGAAGGGACACTCTAGGTTCCAGTTTTAGGGACACTCTAGGCGCCTCTAGACTGGGTCGGGGAAAGGAAGCCTCCTCACGCGCCAGTGAACCTAGAGTGTCAGAGCCAGTGAACCTAGAGTGTCAGCGCCAGTGAACCTAGAGTGTCAGCGCCAGTGAACCTAGAGTGTCAGCGCCAGTGAACCTAGAGTGTCAGCGCCAGTGAACCTAGAGTGTCAGCGCCAGTGAACCTAGAGTGTCAGCGCCAGTGAACCTAGAGTGTCAGCGCCAGTGAACCTAGAGTGTCAGCGCCAGTGAACCTAGAGTGTCAGCGCCAGTGAACCTAGAGTGTCAGCGCCAGTGAACCTAGAGTGTCAGCGCCAGTGAACCTAGAGTGTCAGCGCCAGTGAACCTAGAGTGTCAGCGCCAGTGAACCTAGAGTGTCAGCGCCAGTGAACCTAGAGTGTCAGCGCCAGTGAACCTAGAGTGTCAGCGCCAGTGAACCTAGAGTGTCAGCGCCAGTGAACCTAGAGTGTCAGCGCCAGTGAACCTAGAGTGTCAGCGCCAGTGAACCTAGAGTGTCAGCGCCAGTGAACCTAGAGTGTCAGCGCCAGCGCCGGGCCTGCCAGCCTTCTATTCCTGGCGCTGCCCCCAGCGGCCCCTCGTGCTCCTAGCAGGTGCATGTGGGGGAGGGGAGGGTGGGGACTGGGCAGGGAACTCTCTCTACTCCTGCTCCTCCTCCACACTCTTGTTCTCCCTCCCTTCTCTCCTCCCCATCCCCCCGGTTTTAGCCATAGGCTCTGCAGCAGTCCTCACGATACACACCCTGAAAATGGTGCTGGTGGTGTATACAACTTTTGAGGCACCTCAAAATTCATAGGCCCAACCCAAGCAGCATTCTTCATAATACACACCCCGGGGGTGGTGCTTGTTATTTCTCCACTCCCATTTCCTTTCTCCCTCTTCCACATCCTCCCTAAAAAGAGCTCCTTAAAGTGACGAACCATCCTCTCTCCCTCTGCTTTCTGCATCCGTTTCTTTTCCAGCCATAGCCTCTGCAGCGTTCCTCATAATACACTCCCTGGGAATGGTGCTGGCTTATGACGCACACAAGGTGCAGCTTATAAAGGGGACAGAGCTCCCTCCAGGAATACAGTCGAGCGGAGCAGCAGAGGCAGTGCAAGAGAGGCAGCCTCTAAGGGGTACAGAGACAGCAGCAGGGGGCACACCAGCAGCAGATGAGGGGCAGTTTGGGCAGTTAGGGCAGGTCGGGCAGGCTGGGCAGGTGTCAGAATGGCGCTTCTCCTTTCCCTCCACCCCTCAAGAGATGACGGCTCCTGCGATTCATGCAGCCGCAGCAGTGTGTGTGAGTTTCCTTGAACCTGCTTCTCCTCTTTGCCGTGCGTGTTGAGTCGCCTATAAGTTTTTTTCCCTCTCAAGAGATGAAGGCTCCTGGGATTCATGCAGCAGCAGCAGCAGTATTCGGGAGTTTCCTTGCTCCTATTTGGCCCTCTTTGCTCATCGTTTTATGTGCCTTGAAAGTTCTAGTCTTGTTTTGAGCCACATGACTTGGCTGAAACTTGTCACCGCCCACCCGCTCCCTCACTCTATCAATGATTCATTCACTCACTCGCCCCTTCAACCCATGCCACGTGGCAGATGCTCATTGGTCTCGTGCCGGGCGGTTGTGTGACGGCCCTAGTGATGGCCTGGCTGGTGGCTGTAGCATCGCTGGTTGTTGTGGCACTGCTGATCTACAGAAAAGGCAGCAGCAGAGGGATGTACCGTAGCTAAAGCATTCAAATAGGGGTGTTGTAAACGCTGTGCATATGGGGTGTATGACTCATATGTCCTGCCAGCCGTAGTGACAGCGTGCCTCGTAGCTGTTGCCTCTAGTAGTTGTTGGGCTGCTGGTTAAAAGAAATGGCAGCAGCAGAGCAGAGGGGCTTACCATAGCTGAAGCATTTCTCTGTTTGTATGGGTGCATGAAAGCTCAGTGTTTTGAGTGGTGTCCTGATGGCCTGGCTCGTAGCCTTTTCTGCCTCTCTGATAGCATACAGGAGAGCCAGTAGCAGAGGAAAGGGGAGAATCACAGAAAATACACCAAACACCTTGGAGTGTATAACGCACTTACAAAATCATTTTAGGTGACAGTGGTGATGCTCGTACAGTATTATTGTTTGTGGGAACGAAGCTGACAGTCTGCGCTGACCTCTTCGTGAAGTCATAAAATTCCCGTGAAATTTTACTGGACTCGACATCACGAATCGGTGGTAACAATGAACTTGGCAGTTTTTGTCGCCACTGCATCCAGACTCTGAAATGCGAACACCTTCTTAGTAACTCGTACGATTTTCGCCCACGCGCAAACTAGGCCCGCTCGCTGCTGGACTGTTGCCCAACGCGCTTGCTCCCCCACGCCTCCTTCCTAGCAGTGATGCAGTGATGCTCCTTCCATTTGCGGGAGGGCGCGTGTGGAACGACACTGACAGTCTGCGCTGACCTCGTTGTGAGATTTCAGTTTTCAAAGTTCGTGAAATTTGACCAGACGTCGTAGGTGTTGTCGCTACAAACAAACGTCTTCATGCGAATGGAGCACCTACTGAGTAACTCGTGCGATGTTCGCTCACGCGCAAACCGGGCCCACTAGCCACTGCCTATTATCCAACGCGCTTCCTGCCTCGCGCCTCCTTCCCAGCAGCCCCCGAAAGCCCCTGTCGTTCCAGTTGGCCAGGCGGAAGGGGAAAGGGTGGCACGAGAAGTGCAGAAGCGGGGAATGAGCGGGGGCGGGGGGTTGGGGAGAGCGGCACCTTCCACCAATTCCAGGCAAATGAATTTCTCAGACCCAATCACGACAGACAGGGCTACCAGGGGAGGGTGGGAGTGGGGGAAAGGGGAGCAAGCGTCGTCCCACCACAAACCCAGGCGAAACATTTCTCAGACCTAGTCACGACAAACAGGGTTACCCGGGGAGTACAGTCGATCAACTAACTGCTCATCGCAAAAGCGCGTCAAATCGAGCCGCGTTGTTCCCCTGCGCCCTCCTACCCTCCCACTCTACCCGTCGCTCCACCCAACCCCCCACCCCACTGCAGCCATGGCAAACCAACCTTTGATCGTCGATCGTCAACCTTAGCTGTCCTTAGTTGTCCTTCGGGTGACTCGACCGTTAGTTGTCCTTCGTGTAACCCGCGCGTGGCGCGTGAGCCGGCACTATCGAGGTACCAGCAGCAGCAGCAGCACCCAGGAAACTCCTCGTTGCGCCTGATTGGTGGAGCAGTATGAGGTGCAGTTACGAGGAGTGTCACATGAGGAGCGCATGAGGGCTTCACTTCATCCATCCACCAGCAGCACCCAGGAAACTCCTGGTTTCGTCTGATTGGTCGTAGCGTGCCGCGACGCGACGCGACTCCCTTCGCTGGAATATCGCGTAGTAGTACTTACTTAGCATGGCGTCTTGTCGAGCTTTCATCGTCAGTCGGATCAAATCTTTACGTCATTCTTTAAGAGCACTGCGGATGATCAAACCTTCACGTCTTCCACTGCGTTCGCTCAGACGTTCCTACAGTCGGAGCGCTTTCTCCGCATTCGCCGCAGTACTCGATCCCCGCAGTCGTCGATCTCCCCCTTCACATAGGTCTTTGGAGATACGATCACTCGGTACTAAATACATGCAAGATACGTCCCCGTTTTCAGTTAACAGTGTAATACATTTCATCCATGGCGCAGCGCAACTCCCTGAGCGCCTTCGCGGAAAAGTACGAAATCAGGGGTGATCTGGGAAAGGGGCGGTACGGCGTCGTTGCGGAGTGCGCGGAGCGCGTTTCCGGCAGGCGACTCGCCTGCAAGGTGGTAGAGGCGCGAAAGGAAGCGGTTGACGCGGCGCAACGGGAAGTAACGGCTCTTTCGCTCCTGAAAGGGTATGAAAATATCGTTACTCTCGAGGATGCTTATATCGGAGAGGGTGGGAGGGGGATGGTGCTTGTAATGGAGCTCGCTACCGGCGGGGACCTTCTAACGCGGATAGAGCAGAAGGGACGGATTCCGGAGTCCGAGGCGCGTGAGCTGTTCAAAGGAATCGCCATGGCTTTAAAGCAGTGCCACTATAACGGGGTTATTCATCGTGACGTCAAACCCGACAACATTCTTTTGTTTCCCGCCAAAACTTCTCTCCTTCGGCGAATGTCATCTGAAAGCGGTTCACACAGTAGGTCTCCAAGATCAACCCTAATAAGCGACTTCATGGGTGCGTGCGACTTCAGAGGTTGCGAATTCGCCACGAAACTCGCGGATTTCGGAATCGCGAAGGTGCTTGCGCCGGGGGAGAAGATCGACGGCTATGCAGGGAGCTCCCCTTACGAGGCTCCCGAGGTTTTGGCGGGAAAATCATACGATTTCGCTGCAGACATTTGGAGCCTCGGTGTTACCCTGTACGCGATGCTTTCGGGACAATGGCCGACTTTCGCGAACGGTCGCCGCGCGTTTGACGAGAGCAAGGACTGGGACTCTCCCTGCTGGTGGATCATCTCGAGCCGAGCGAAGAATCTCATCCGTTCGATGCTCGCAACCGACCCGCAGATCCGACCGTACATAGATGACGTTCTGAATGACCCTTGGGTGTGCGGCGCCTCGTTGTTTCCATCTTCATTCTCCGGCTCAGGTTCTCCCAGAAGCATTCCCAAGGCTGCTTCTGCTGTCCAACTTCCCCCTGCATTTGCCATCCAACCTGCGACTTCATTTGCTACCACAACTGCACCTTCATTTTCCAGCACAACTGCTGCTGCTGCTGCTGCTGCTGCTGCATCCACTAAGGGTCCCTTGCCTCCTGCTGATGATGATTCCCCCTCCTCTGCCTTAAAGTTCCCGCTTGCAACGCTCACGATCAAGACCACGTACAGAACCACGTGCAGCACGGTCAAGTCGTGCCGCAAGCTTGCATCCGACGTGCTTCGGCAGAAGCAGTGGCGTCTCCATGGCGCATCTGCTGCTGGGAAGCTCTCTCCGTGTGCTGCTGAGAAGATTTCTCCATGTGCCAGCAAGATCTCACCATGTGTCAGCAAACTCTCTCTGTGCAACAGCTCTCCGTTGAGACGACACGGCTGCAAGCTCCAGCGGACTTCGGGAAGACTCAGTGCGCGGGTGGCTGCCATGGCTGTTGCTGCGGTTGAACAATGCACTGCTGATGGGAGTTGTGGCCTAACACAGCCATGACTGTTTTATTCCGTTTCACCAGCTTCAGGAAGGCTGAATGGGCGGGTGGCTGCCATGGCAGTTGCTGTGGTTGAACAATGCACTGCTGATGGGAGTTAGGGCCTAACACAGCCATGACTGTTTGAGACGTCTTCAAACAAGTTCCTTCACAGCAGCTTCTGGAAGACTGAAATGCGCTTCTGACAATTTGGCATTCTTGGTTGAATATTCTTCAGGCGCCTCTGCAGTTAGATCAGCACGTTGTAAGAATACTTATTATTTAATTCATTCATCCAACCGGCCCAAGCTTGTTCCTGTTTATCCATCCTTAACACTCTGACCACCCTCTTGTGCTCTGCGAACAACACTGAACTGAACGCAGTGAGAGAGCACGTGTCAGAGAGCGAGTGAGTGCGTGAGAGAGTGCGTGAGAGAGCGCGTGAGAGAGCGAGTGCGCGTGAGAGTGCGCGTGAGAGAACGCGTGAGAGAGCGCGTGAGAGAGCACGTGTCAGAGAGCGCGTGAGAGAGTGTGTGAGAGAGTGCGTGAGAGAGCGTGAGAGAGCGCGTGAAGGACCGCGTAAGAGATTGCATCAAAGAGCACGTGAGAGAGCGCGTGAGGGAGCACGTGAGAGAACGAGTGCGCGTGAGAGTGCGCGTGAGAGAGCGCGTGAGAGAGCGCATGCGAGAGCGCGTGAGGGAGCGCGTAAGAGAGCGCGTGGGAGTGCGCGTAAGAGGCGCGTGGGAGTGCGCGAGAAAAAGCGTGTGACCGAGGGAATGCGCAAGAGAGTGCGCGAGAGAGAGCGCGTGAGAGAGCGTGTGATAGAGCACGTGTCAGAGAGCGCGTGAGAGAGTGCGTGAGAGAGTGCGTGAGAGAGCGTGCGAGAGCGCGTGAAGGACCGCGTAAGAGATTGCATCAAAGAGCACGTGAGAGAGCGCGCGAGGGAGCGCGTGAGAGAGCGAGTGCGCGTGAGAGTGCGCGTGAGAGAGCGCGTGAGAGAGCGCGTGAGGGAGCGCATAAGAGAGCGTGTGGGAGTGCGCGTAAGAGGCGCGTGGGAGTGCGCGAGAAAGAGCGCGTGACCGAGGGAATGCGCAAGAGAGTGCGCGAGAGAGAGCACGTGAGGGAGTGCGTGAGAGCCCATGAGAGTGCGCGTGAGAGAGTGCGTGAGAGAGTGCGTGAGAGAGTACGTGAGAGAGCACGTGAGACTGCGCGTGTCAGAGAGCGCGTGAGAGAGTGCGTGAGAGAGTGTGTGAGAGAGCGCGTGAGAGAGCGCGTGAAGGACCGCGTAATAGATTGCATGAAAGAGCACGTGAGAGAGCGCGTGAGAGAGAGAATGCGCAAGAGAGTGCGCGAGAGGGAGTGCGACGGAATGCGTGAGAGCCCATGAGAGATTGCGTGAGAGAGCATGTGAGAGAGCGCGAGAGTGCGCGTGAGAGAGTGCGTGAGAGGGCGAGTGAGAGTGCGAGCGAGAGAGCGAGTGAGAGAGCACGCAAGAGAGCGCGCGAGAGAGCGCATGAGAGAGAGAGAGAGAGAGATAGATAGAGAGAGAGAGAGAGAGAGAGAGAGAGAGAGAGAGAGAGAGAGAGAGAGAGAGAGAGAGAGAGAGAGAGAGAGAGAATGTGCGAAGGAGTGCGCGTGAGGGAGCGCGTGACGGAGCGCGTGAGAGTGCGTTAGAGAGCGTGAGAGAGCGTGTGCGAGAGTGCGTCAAAGAGCGCAGGAGAGAGCGCGTGAGAACGCGCGTGAGAGAGCGCGTGAGAGTGCGCGTAAAAGCGCGCGTGAGAGAGCGCATGAGAGAGCGCGTGAGAGAGCGCGTGAGAGAGCGCGGGAGTGAGCGAGTGAGAGCGCTTGAGTGTGCACATGAGAGAGCACGTCAGGGAGTGTCAGAGAGCGCATGAGAGTTCGTGTGAGAGAGCGTGTGAGACTCCGTGTGAGAGAGCGCGTGAGCGAGCGTGAGAGGGCGCGTGTGAGAGTTGACTTCTCGGTTTTTGCTTGTGCAGGGCGCGTGTTGACGTCTCTGTTTTTGCTTTGTGCAGGGCGCGTGTGTGCTAACTTCTCTGATTTTGCTTTGTGCAGGGCGCGTGTGTGTTGACTTCTCTGATTTTGCTTTGTGCAGGGCGTGTGTGTGTTGACTTCTCTGGTTTTGCTTTGTGCAGGGCGTGTGTGTGTTGACTTCCCTGATTTTGCTTTGTGCAGGGCGCATGAGCTGCGAAGGGAGATGAGGGAGGGAGTGGGATGGAGATGAGGGAAGGAGGGAGGGAGGGTTGTAGGGAGGGGAAGGTGGGATAGGCCAGCAATCATTTCTGCATTTCTGAATTTTATTCATGACGGTTGTGTCTTTATTACGGTCTTTGTATCTATCTGTGCTTGTTTGCGTGTGTGTTAGTGTGTGTTGTACATGTGCGTATGTACGTGCCCGTGTGCGCCTATGTGATATACGGTATGTGTGTGTGTGTGTGTGTGTGTTTGTTTGCACCTGTCTGTCTCGAGGCGTGTGCTAAAGTGCCTTGTATTGTATATGCAACTGAGGTGTGATGTTAAAGTGTGTCGGGTCTGCATTTGAGGTGGGGATCGTTGTTGGGGCAGCGTTGCTCGCCTTAGCATACCGGAACCACCTCTACTGTAGCACCGATGCATTTTAGCATCCACTCACAGTTGTTTGTGTTGTTTTTGCACGTGTTATGCAACTGATGTGTGATGTTAAAATGTGTCGGGTCTGCATTTGAGGTGGGGATCGTTGTTGGGGCAGCGTTGCTCGCCTTAGCATACCGGAACCATCTCTGGTGTAGCATCCATGCATTTTAGCATTCACTCTTAGTTGTTATGTGTTGTTTTTGCGCGTGATCAATGGATGCGCTGCACATGATTTGCGTTCACGTCCAGTGGATGTTTCTCGTCAATTGTGTTTCGTGACAACCGATTGTTCCATTCGCCGTATTTATCAACGATTATGGAATGAAAGGTTACATTTGGTTTCATTTTTGGGCAGGCCCTACGAAGTCAGACTTTTTTCTCTGATTTGCACAAAAAACTCTGATATTTCAGATTTTTTTTTTCCAGTGTACTCTGTTAAAATCAGACTTTTTTGGGCCCAAACTCTGTAATTTTCAGACTTTTTTAAAGGCTAGCTCTGAGAGTTCAGAGTTTTCTGAGAGTGTACTCTGATCATTTAGAGTACAGACGCGTCCTTGACTCGTGATTCGGACTTACGGGTCACAACAGATTCGCAATGTCAACGCAAAATCGCCTTGACACAGCAAATCCGAGCCTTACAGCACATGATTTTCGCCCAATCATAGCGAAATCGCCCTGACACAACAGATTTGCGCTGTCAGAGCACAACAATTTTCGACCAATCACAGAAAACTCGCCCTGACATTGCAGATTCGCTCTTTCGCACCACAATATTCGCCCTGACACATATATTCGCCCTGTCATAGCATGTTTTATCGGAAATCCCCTTAGTGTTGTGTGTTTCGGTAGCAGATGAATGAAACATTGATTACATTCCGATGAAACATTGAATACATTGTTTTTGAATGATCAGACTTTTTTTTTAGGACACTCTGAAATTTCAACCTTTTTTTTATACCAACTCTGAGATTTTCAGACTAAAATTGTGTACTAGTCTGACGAATCAGACAGGCCAAAAACTAATCTGAGGGCCTGTTTTTGGGGGACTCTTGTATCAGTGCTTTCGTCATGTCCACAACTTTGGAGCACTCGTTTTGAAAACGTAAAAATGAGGGTTTTAAACGTTGGGAAAATTACAAAAACTGCACTGTTCATTCGAGTCGACCAAAAAGTGCTACCAAATGTATAGGGTTGGTACGCAACCCAAAAAAAAAAAAAAAAAAAACAATCCACCCCCACGCACTGGTGTTCAACCACACAAGTTCTACCCCTTTGGCTCCAACTCCCACCACTCACTATCGAATTTGTGGGTGGGGTTTTGCCATCGTGAACTTAGCGATTCCCACCCCTCGAGTTCTGTCCCTATGCCAAGCAGCGTAGAAATACGAATTCTAATCGTATAGTGTGTTCCTAAGCTTCATTCCTCCCACTCCAGCTCAAAGCTTGCATGGAAATTTGTGTGCAACGCACGAAAATAAATAATTGATTTCAACCCTGGTCCGACTTTTACCACGTGCAAGCAAATAAAACATAAGCAATCCTGAGTTTCATTCCGAGTCCGACTACCGCGTGCAACCCACGGGAATGAAACCGAATCCTTCGAGTCCGACTCATCGCACTTGCAGGGAAAGAGCCAAGGCTCTGGCTAGGTTTTTGGCCCGTCTGAAAAAAAGTTGGAGAAAACTTTTTGTCTGAAGGAAATACGAGCAATCTTAGATGGTCTGATTTTTCAGATGAAACAATGGCCCTTGTCTGAATTTTTAGACTAAACATATACACTTGACTGATTTTTCTAAGGGATAACCTTTTCATGTGCAAAGCAAAGTTTCGAACGCAGTGGTGGCAGAAGGAATCGAACCCTGACCTTCGTCACGAGGACCAAAACACAGGGGACTAAGCTACTTTACAATACCCTCTATCTATACGATGTCCAGCTCTTTACACGCTTCGGAACTTCTGTGTCTCAGACGAAATTACACTCGCTGTCTGAATACTCAGATGGACTATTAGCCCGTGGTCTTATTTTTCAGATGAGCAGAAATGGTTTGTCTGGAAAGTCATATGAGCATAAACAATTTGTGTGAAAAATCATATGAATATTAAAAAACGTGTCTGATTTTCAAACCATCAGACGGATTTTGTTGTCAGAACATTATAGCTTACTTATTTGTGTAGGCTATAGTGGGGTATCCCATAGGGGGTACAACCCAATTAGGGTTTCCTATTTGTACTCACTTCATTCATAATTCATTCATTCTCGTTCACTTCTTCTCATGGTATCGAGCAGGTTCCCCTGTGGGAACTGTGCTTAGGGCCCACCACCTCGAAATTTATTTTTTCCTGCCCTAGCTTCTAGCGCGCCGCCCGCCCTAGAGCCTGAGCGCCGCCCCTAGCGCCCTAGCGCTCGTCCGCTGCCCGCCCTAGCGCGCCGCTCGCCCTAGGACTGAGCGCCACCATAGCGCCGCCCTAGCGCCGCCCGACGCGCCGTCCTAGCGCTGCCCGACGCGCCGCCCTAGCGCCGCCCGACGCGCCGCCCTAGTGCTAGCCGCCCGACGCCCGCTAGCTCGCGTGAGCTGCCCGACGCGACGCCCGCTAGCCGCCCTACGTCCGCTAGCCGCCCGCCGCGTTGCCCGTGCGCCGCCTGTGCGTCGCCCTCAGCCGCTCGACACGCAGCCCGTCAAGCCGCCCGTGCTGCCGCCCGGCGTGCCGCCAGTGCAGCCGCCCTTAGCCGCCCGTGAGCGGCCCGTGCAGCCGCCCGTGTGACCGCCCGTGCAGCCGCCCGTGCACCCGCCCGTGCACCTGCCCGTCCACCTACCCGTGCGGTCGCCCGTGCACCCGCCCGTGCACCTACCCGTGCGGTCGCCCGTGCACCCGCCAGTGCACCTACCCATACGGCCGCCAGTGCAGCCGCCCGTGAGCAGCGTGCGAGCCGCCCCAGAGGCCCGTGAGCCGCCCGGGCCGCCAGTGCAGCCGCCCGTGAGCCGCCCGCTCGCCGCCCCAGCCGCCCGTGCAGCCGCCCGTGAATCGCCCGCGAGCCGCCCCAACCGCCCGTGCAGCCGCCCGCGAGCCGCCCCAACCGCCCGTGCGGCCGCCCGTCCGCCGCCCGCGAGCCGCCCGTGAGCCGCCCGCGAGACGCCCGCGCCGCCCGAGCCGCCCGAGCCGCCCGAGCCGCCCGAGCCGCCCGAGGAGCCGAGCTCCTGCTCCTGTGGGGCTGCTGCTGCTCCTGGGCGGGCGCAGCTGCTGTGCTGCCGTGTTGCTGTGCCGCTGAGCTACCCGACTCTTCCTGCCCGGTGAGACTGTCAGCTGCTATCATGGCCACCCCCAGTGTCCTGGCTTTTGACGCTGAGGGTCGCGCCATTGACTTTGCAGTCTGGGTTGAGGACCTGCAGCTGTACTTACTGTGCGATGCGATAGATGAGGTTTCTCTCTTTGACTTTGTCTCTGGCGCTGTCCCTGCCCCTCCTGCTGATGCTGACCCCGCTGTTCGCTCCAACTGGGCCACGCGCGATGCTGCTGCACGTCTTGCTGTGCGTCGCCACCTCCCTTCCTCCGAGCGTGCGCACTTTAGTCAGTGCAAGACCGCTCAGGCCTTGTACGACGCTGTAGTTGCGCGTTACTCCTCCCCTTCCTCCGCTACGCTGAGCCGCCTCATGCTACCGTACCTCTTCCCTGACCTCGCTGCCTTTCCCACAGTCGCTGACCTCTTTACCCACCTCCGCGCTAGTGACACTCGCTACTGCGCTGCGCTTCATGCTGCCTTCCTCGCCGAGAACCCCCCTCCCATGTACATCACTCTCTACTTTCTAGTCACCCGTCTCCCTGAGTCCCTTCGTGCTGTTAGGGACCAGTTTCTCTCTGTCTGTCCCACCACCCTCACTGTCGACCTCCTTGAGAAGTCCCTGCTAGCGGCCGAGAAGAGCATAGTCGCTATAGGGGCCTCTCGTGGTGACCCGCGCACCCCCATCTTTGAGGGGTGTTCTCCCTCCCCCCTGTTACCCTCTGTCGCCTCTACTGCTGCGGCCGACCTCGTTGGTTTGGAGTCGGTCGATGCGGCGTCTGCCCCCAGCGGTAGGCGCCGCTCTGGCAGGGGCAAGGGGGGCAAGGGAGCGGGTGGAGCTAGCGGGGGCGGTGGCGGAGGAGGTGGGGGCGGCGGGGGGAGTGGGGGTGGCGGTGGAGGTGGTGGCGGGAGTGGAGGTACTGGTGGCGGCAGTGGAGGCGGAGGCGGCGGCGGAGGTGGTGGCGGAGGTGGCGGTGGGAGCGGCGGGGGTGAGGGTGGCGGTGGCGGCGGTGGCGGCGGAGGCGGGGGTGGCGGTGGTGGAGGTGGTCGGAGTGGCTCGTCCCAGCGGAGCAGCACTGGGGGTGGTCAGCGCCAGCAGCAGCAGCAGCGCTCTCGCGACGTCCCCACCCCTCAGCAGCTCCGTAAGTGGTACTCGCAGCGTCAGCGTGGTGGGGCGTTCGGTCCCTGCACCTACGTCCTTCGCACCGGCGACCGCGCGGGTGAGCAGTGTGGGGGCACCCACACCGCCCGCCGCTGCTTTGCCCGCTTGACCGACGCTTGGCGTCAGCAGTTTCCGGAGGCCTCTGAGATCCCCCGCTGGGGAGAGCTGTCTATGGCTGGTGTAGCTATCTTTGATCTTGACTTTGATGCTATCCTTGCTGCCATGTATGCTGTGACTGTTAGTGATGAGGGTGACTGTTACCGGTGTTTCCCGCCCGACCCGGGCATTGGTACTGCTGCGTCAGGTCCCAGTGAGGCTGCTGCTCCAGGTGCCAGTGCGTTTGTGCTCTCAGGTACTAGTGAGTCTGCACTCTCAGGTACTGTGTCGGCTTCGGCCTCTCACACCTCCACCCTTGACTCTGGGGCGTCTCGCTCCTTCTTTCGGGACCGCACCACTCTCACGCCGCTTAGTCGGCCGGTTGCGGTGTCCCTGGCTGACCCCTCTGGGGGTCCTGTCCTGTCTCGTTTCTCCACAGTCCTCCCGTGTCCGGCGGCTCCCTCTGGCACCCTGACTGGTCTCTACCTCCCCTCGTTCTCTACGAACCTGGTGAGTGGTGCTGACCTACAGGATGTGGGTGTCCACCAGTTCACTCCTGCTCGTCAGTGGGTGACACACTACACAGAGGCTAGCACAAGTTGCCACCTGGCTACGTTTACACGTCAGCCAGGGTCGAGCCTGAACACACTGACCACTGCTTCTCCTCCAGGTGCTGAGTCTGGTAGAGTCCCTTCGTCTGGTCAGGTGTTTGCTGCAGCGTCCAGTTCTGGTCCTGAGTCTGCCCCCTGTTCGTGTCGCCGTCTGTCTCACGAGACCCTCCTCTGGCACCACCGCCTTGGCCACCCCTCTCTGCTTCGGCTCAGAGGCATGGCCTCCCGTCTTCTTGTGTCTGGTCTCCCCCGGTCCCTCCCTCCCCTTCCTCAGGGCCCTGGTCCTGCCTGTGTCCCCTGTGTCAAGGGGCGTCAGCGTGCTGCCCCTCACTCCTCCCAGTTTCCTCCGACAGAGGCTCCATTGCAGACGCTTCACATGGACGTGTGGGGCCCTGCCCGCGTCCGTGGACTCGGTCACGAGCGCTACTTCCTGTTGGTGGTTGCCGACTACTCGCGTTACACCACAGTCTTCCCCTTGCGCAGCAAGGGTGATGTCACTGAGGTGCTGATCGACTGGATCCGCGCAGCTCGTCTCCAGCTCAGGCAGAGCTTTGGCTCGGACTTTCCTGTGTTGCGTCTGCACTCGGACAGAGGCGGAGAGTTCTCCTCTGGCCTTCTGCGTGCCTTCTGTCGTGTGTGAGGCATCCGCCAGACCTTCACGCTTCCGGACTCACCGCAGCAAAATGGGATTGCAGAGCGCCGCATTGGCATGGTCATGGACGTCGCTCGTACGTCTATGATGCATGCGGCTGCCCCCCATTTTCTGTGGCCGTTTGCGGTCAGGTACGCGGCGCATCAGATCAACCTCCACCCCAGGGTCTCCAGGCCGGAGACCTCCCCAGCCCTGCTGTGAACGGGGAAGGCTGGCGATGCGTCGGCGTTCCGGGTCTGGGGATCTCGGGCGTTTGTCCGCGACTTGTCTGCGGACAAGCTGTCCCCTCGCGCTGCTCCCTGCGTCTTCCTGGGGTTCCCCCCCGACGCCCCTGGGTGGCAGTTCTACCACCCCACCTCTCGACGTGTTCTGTCCTCCCAGGACGTCACGTTCGACGAGTCGGTACCCTACTACCGCCTCTTCCCCTACCGCACTCCGTCCCTCGCCCCGCCCCCGCTCTTCTTGGTACCAGGTCCCCCCCCGGTAGACCCCCTCCCCCCTCAGGGTCCTGCCCCTCCAGGTGTGTTCCAGGTAGACGCGGTCGAGACTGTCGAGGTCACTGGTGACTCTGGTGCTGCTGCGGGAGCTGAGACAGGGGGTGCTGGTACTGGGGGTGCTACGCCTCGGGGTGCTGAGCCTGGGGGTGCTGAGTCTGGGGGTGCTGAGCCTGGGGGTGCTGGGCCTGGAGGTGCTTTACCTGAGGGTGCTGAGCCTGGAGGTTCTCCGCCTGGAGGTGCTTCGTCTCGCCGGGAGCCACTCTCCCCACAGGAGCTGTGTGAGTGGTTTGCCTGGCGCTGGAGGCGTGCTGCTGGTGCT